GAAAAGTGAAACAGAAGACACAAAACGCACGGCAGAAAGGAAGAGAAGCACGTGGAAGCAGCGAAGAAAAGATAGCAGGAGAATTGGTACTTGCCAAGCCCTACGTAACGCCTGTCTATGTTTCACGACTGACTCGGATTTTTCGCCTCGTTCTGAAATGGGAGCAGACGGGTTCTTGATCGACGACAGGCCTCGGAACGTATAGTATTAGCAAGACTATCAGAGAAATGATCCATTCGTTTTTTAAATTTAAATCGCGAACAGAGGAAAAAACGAGGAGGAGAACTCTGTCCTTAGATACTTCTTTTTGATACTCTACGAGAATTTATTGTATTTATGACGCGTAATACACACTTCGGACCTCGTCTACCGAGACCTTATTATATTATAACTCTACTGTTCGTGACAATTGTCGTTGCTGGTTTGTGCATTTTCGGTGCGGTGCATTTCTGAGCGCATTTCACTTTTACTCTTCGAAGTTAGGGGAGCGCTGTAACGCTTTTCCTCGGTTTTCTTTCGTAGCGCGTAGGGAGCCGCACGTTTCAAATCGAACCGCGATTAACGCGTGTTGTACGATATCCTCTTGTCGCACAGGATGTTTCAAAATACGGGATGCAACGCTGTACATGTTATTGGAACTCATTGAGAGAAATGGAACATTCGATGGCGATTACGTATACATACGTATGAAAAATTCATTTAAAGTGTTTGAAACATGCGAGTTTAGGATATAAAGTAACGTCTAGTTTACACGTAGAGGAACTATGGTGATGTTTGGGAACAAAACAGGTTGTACTAATCGTACTCCTTTAACTTTTAAGAAGGCAAATATGGTTCGTTTGACCCTTTATTAGTCCTGGAGGTAACTGTAATTCTTCCATATCTGACGTGACATGACTTGACTTCATTTCTGTGCTGGAGTCTTCCGGGTGTTTGGAAGAAGTAAAGAATTTCTTGGCTGCATTAATTAGTGGCATTAACTCTAAAGGCTGGACTCGTCTTTTCACATTTATTTATCAGATTTTCAGTTTCTTTATTGATTGCCCAGGTCCAATTTCTATAAGTTTCTCTTGATCATGCGGACCGGAACTAAATTACTATCACCAGGGATTCTGATCAACTTAAGGAATTTCATTTGTCGGTGTGGAAGAATTGAGTAATATAATGTTTATGTTAGAATCCTCATTTAACTGTCCTCCCATACACCAGCACGAGAAGATCTTTCCGAACATCTTTTCAAATTTGTCTTGAATGTATTTAAACAATTTTTAACTATTTGGAATAATGACAGTAGTAAAAGATGTAGGAATAGCATAATTCAGGATATAAAGGGTTAATATGTTGGTTCTCCCGTACGAATGAATACCTACTTTCCACGTAGGTTAGGCCTAAATATTATATAGTGACCAGGGGAATGTGTGTGGAATGTCAGCAGGTAAAATGGTCCGATTGTGAAGATTAATCACTTCATTGACTCTTTACGGAAGGTACTAAACTTTTCTATCTGCTATACGACCTGCTGCAATTAGTATTTGTATGTAAATGTAATTTGCCCACATGGCTCGTTTTACTTTCGTCGTAATTACAAGGATTTTCTTCTAAAACGAAATTATCTTTGAAATCTCCGATATTTCGACATTGTATCCACTAAGCATTTTCTTTCAATGAATTCCACCAGCTTCTACTCTTCATACCTATACCTTTGAAGCATTCTGTATATTAGCTGAGTGCGAAAGTTCTGTCGGTCTTTGTGCAAAGAAACTAATTTACCGAGTACGTGTTTACATATATATATTTTCTACATAGTTCTATAGCTTTTTTTCCTATCTTTCTCTGAACTATTGAATTCGCCTGAGAACAGCTTCAAATTTTACGGTTCATGGAACCGTCGGTAGACTGCTTTAGCAAATTCTCGTCGGCAACGTTCGGTCACTTAGTGATTATACAATTACGTAAATGGAGAAACATTGGTAGGAAGGTTGAATAGTTGACAGAAAGAGACGGAAGAAGTACAAATACAAGCATAATAAATGAAAACACTAATCCCTATATTTTGTTACCTTGAACCCGGCAGAACTATCGTGCGATATTATTCACAACGGGTTCTTCGTGTAATAACTGTAAATAATAGCTGAAGAAAATTCGTCTTTGCGACCGGCGATACGTAAGGCGACCACAGAATCTCACTTTCGATCGACGAACGAAAAACTGGTTCATTCTAAACGCGTACTGAAACAAACAAAAAAACGAGAGAACAAACACACGGGTCGACGTGGTGTACGTAAAAAGGCTGTCGTCGAGCACACGTCGCAACGTAGCCTCTCCCCAGAAAGTAAATAGATTATATTTTTGAGAAGAAAACAAAGTTAACGAAAACTTCAAACGCCCCCGCCGATCGCGATCGGCGATCGTTGATGTAAGTAACTATGTTCAAACGTCGTGCCAGAAAAAGACTGTTTCCCACTTGTTCTACGCTGTTTTCGATTTACCTTCGCTCGTTGTTTCGTTCGTAAATTCCCGTTTCTTTTTTACCGTTGTCTATGATTATACTTTATTACTGTAAATAACGACGAATTGCGTGTTATCTAGTCAGGGGTCCGATATGGATCTTTCCGTTCGAGATTCACTCTTCCGCCCATCACGAACACTCATTTTTAAGTTCACGACTGAATTGAATTTTATCCGAGAAAACAAAAAAAGTGAGAAAGAGAGTGTGTGTGTGTGTGCGCGTGTGTCTGTGTGAGAGAGAGAAAAACATGTATATGTGTATGTATAGAAACAATTATATATATATACATTATGTTCGGAATAAAATGATGATGAAGATAACTGCCATATTTCTTTCAGCTAGTTTAATAACAAGATAATAAATATGTGAGTACAAAGCACACGCCGTTCCAGAGTGCGATCGATGTACATATAGTGTACATAAATCTATACATATGTGTGTGTACATATATATATTCTATACATGTCTATATAAATTTATTTAATTTTTACAACTCGTTTTCATATTTTTCTGTTTCATCCTTTTATTGTAGAATATAGTATACCCCTTATCGACGACGGCAAGATCAATGGCGACGACGATTTGTCCGAGGAGTATACGAATCACGTCAAGATATCTGAATATTTGTGTGAAAGGCTGGATTATTAATATTCTGGTAGCAACCAACTAATTAATTATATGAAAATCTACTTTCCCCGTTTCTCCATTAACCGTAATATATTGCCAGCCGTTTTATAATATTTTCTTTCAAGTTATCTTCGATGGTTCTAGCTTGAGACTAATAAAGAAATTCTCTTTGTCCTCCCTGTATCTAGTCTTCAGCAGAAACTCCCTTGTGAACGAGTGTCTTGGGAAATCATATCCTTGAGCTTGTTTCTGACAATCCGCCAGCCAGAATACGACATCGAGGACCCGTTTCATTCTTGGATCCATGTCCCTTAATCTTTCCTGCTCCTTGACGACTGCTCTGCGCTTCAGGATGACATTACGCCAGTGATAAAAGTATTTCCATGCCAAATCCTGTTCTCTGGACATCCACGGTAATTCCTGTTCCTCTTGGACTGTTCCTGGGTCCTTTCTACGTCTCATTCTTGTCAATACTGTAAGAATGCGTTTTCCTACACTTGGTTTCTGTTCTAAACCCTGGTTACATTTTAGATCAGACGAGTTTTTAATTGTGTCCGACGGATTTGCATGGACTGGATGTTGTTGAAATGTTCTGTCTTTAGCAGGCAAGAAGTTGTTGTTGCACTCCTGACGACGTCCCGGGTTACTCAAGCCAAGAAGCTTTATTAGAAGATCACCAACGTACGGCATCGATGGTGGATTTCCCTCTGCTTTCATCCAAGCTCGCTGATATGACAGTGCGCAGGGACTTTTGTAAATCTTACAAAGACGCTCCATAGCTTTGTACCTGAAGTATAAATTAGTAGATTTAACTTAGTGTTTTCAAACTATTTTTAATTTAATGTTTATAAGGAAACGTAGGGTAAAATACTTGAAGAAAATAGCATTATACCTGTTAGCATGATGAACACGCAGATAGAACCAGCTATTTCGTAGCCTGTAAATTGGAGGAGCTTGCAGACCGGCCAAAATGGACCTGCACGAATGAAAATTTCCCATGGCAAAACACTTGCTGGCTGCGTTCACGAGTCTCGCGATAATTCTAGATCTCACGCTTAACTTTTTAATCGTAAGAATCTCGCTGGCGACGAGGCAAGCGACTCTGTGACTGAAGGCAATCCATGCCGCCAAATTGGGCGCGTTTCTCGAGCTTCTTTGGAACACTACGATTTCGATTTCCTCCGCGGGGATCCGAGCGAATAGATCACGGTCTACGAGGGTCACCTGCGTGGCCAAAGTGGTACTGTCTATGTCCCAAATGGTAATCCTGAAGTCCATCCTTAGCAATCTCCTTAACTGAACCGTATCATTATTCTCCTGATTCTCATGCTTCTTTTTCCTTTTCGAGGAACCACTCCCAGAAAAGATTCTCTCCAAGAAACTAGGTTTCTCTTCAGCAACGATAATAGAATCTTCCTCGCACTGACACTTTCTTCTTCTAGAAAAGAAGTTCCGCTTCGCTGGTCTTTCCTTTTCTTGTCGATAACTCTTCAGATGATTTAGGTGTCGCCTCAATTCCCTGTCAGAATAAAGTATCTATAATTGTATTTCCATTTATGTCTCGTTCTGGATTAATAGTCTCAGTAAACTGAAAATGATCTAAAACTGAGTTCAATTTTGTGTAATTTTTTTCAATTTAATTATTGTTCGTATACAGTAAATGCACAAACATCTGCAATCTATTTATTGTTACCTGTAAGCAGCAGACGCTGGCCTGGGACGGTACCAGTACTCCGGCGTCCAGAACAGTACCACGCGTCCTTTGACACTGGTTCCAATAGACCCATATCTACCTGACTGCAGAGCAGTATAAGAAATACTAGTGGACAACTGACGCCTTGACACAGGAAGCTTCAGCTCAATATCAACAGGCTGTCGGCGAATAGTAACTAAACTAAACGACCTGCGTCCTTGAAGAAAACTTCGTTCTCCAGGTTGCACGGTCCAGGGTCCAAGAGAATGAAGAAAATGGGCCGCTGTGCAGAGACCGTAGCGTCTAAAGTGTCTGGGATGCTTTGAGGACTTGCAAGAACCTTGGCCCCCATTTTCCCAGACTTTTACAGCGTTCTCCGTCAGACGACAGAATTTCTCTGCGAATCTTTCATCTTCTTTTATTGGATAGCATTCTGTGAGCACCAATCTCGAATCGCATTTCTCTGGTATGCCGAATCCGAATCGCGATATTCTCCCCGTTAAACATTTCTTGGGAATTTTCGCCTCCTCTTCGGGGGTCCGCTTCGGAACATCTTCATCTTCCTCGTACCACACGTTACGTTTCTCTACTACCTTGTCTTCGACGACGATTCTCTGGCAAGGACAACTCGGGCAATTCGTGTAAAACTTTTTCGTGTTACAGTATCTGCGATTGTGGTCTCGGATGAACAATACGTCACAGAGACCGCCATTTTGAGGTTTCTTCTCGAGACAAGAACACGTCGGCCAACTGAAGCTGACCCTGTCGAATTTACACGGCGATAGATCTTTTAATTCGTCCTTCACGTCCTCGAGGCTAGCGCCGGCGTATCGCACGGGAACAGGCGCATATTCTCCGTTTGTTAATTCATTGAAACCGGGTCCAAGGTAGAGGTCCTTCTGCCGCCATGTTGGTGCGTGGTCGCCTGCTCCTCCGTAATGAGCCCACACTCTATATTTATCACGGGAAGATATTTATTTAATACAAGGAAATCTGTTTCTTTACATAACTTTCACGTTTGATACATTGAAAACATCTTCATAACATGCAGTACAAAAATCCGCCAAAATTCCGACAAGGTCAAGCATTGAACTTATTCTCAACAAGGCATAGCAATAGAACTTAATGTCGTCACCTGCACAATGTCTTCTTCCCACTTTTCCTAGCTCCCTTGCAAATCTCGATCTCTGACGAAAGCAGATACAGCGTGGTGGTGCTCGACGAACTCGCCGCAGTTGTCTCCGATAGTGAACTCCTGTCCTTTCTTTTTGTACGCAAACTCTCCACTTCTTTGCACCATTTATTCCAAAAGATCCTTCTTTTCTGAATTCCGCCAAGTTCGTAGTAATGTACCCTTCCGTCAACGAATCTGATCGAATGGACATTGATTAGATATAAAAGACAGAGAATTAAATTTTGTAGACACTACCCTTAGGATGGAAGTGAACGAACGCTTTTTTCGAATATTGTTTATACAATAGATAACTATTTGGCGAGGATAGTAAATTATAATGTAAAGAGCATAATTTGAAACGAACCTCTACCTTGCCTTTAATGTATTTCGATGTCGTCTGCTGAACACGCTCAGGGTAACGTATTGCATAGGATACACCGAGATCAACTCGAAACTCTCGATGCTGGGGTCCAGACCACGCGGGCAGAAGTATTCTTTGCCCTTAAATATGTCTGCGGCTATGATCAATTTGGTGGGCGTGAGACCGAGGGATACCTGACGTATCCCTCGACCGTTCCTGCTGGTTTCCGCGAATGGAGATTCCACGAGAATAGTATCTGCGAAATCAGTGTACTCGGAGGCCAGCAGCTTCTGAATCCTCTTGTGTTCCACGTCGCTGTTCCTCGAACGAAAACGAAGAGTCTGCATCGTCGTGCACGACGAACGCATGTCGTACGAATTTCGTTTAAATTAGGGGAACAGAATCGAAATAAGTTAATCATTTACAAGGTTCAAGGTAACTGGAGAATTTTCTAAAAACCCGAGGACCGATTCTAGCAGGTTGTCTGTGCGCGACAGGTTAACGGGTTTTTGAGTCCGTGATTGCGCGTTACGGAATGAATTTAGTTTTTAGTAAACTTTCGATGGTTAGAGGGCACTTGAAATTTTCAGTTGCAATATAATTCAGTTATTTCATTTGGCTTTGAATTCAAATTGATACTTTGGATTCTACTACAATTATACTTTGGTAGATTTGAGGGATGAAACGTAAATCATATGATTAAAAATATAGATCTGTTATTGTGTCCAATTGACTCGTTAGATCATTTTTGTTTTGAAAACCGGATTGATACTGTCCATGATGAAAGAAGTGATTTTCTCCAAGTAGTCGCGTTCTTCAGGCCGAAGTGTCGACCTCGCATCGCTCGATTAACTTTTATGACGCAATTATCAAGGCGATGGGATTTCTTGACAGGGAAAGCAGGTGAAGGTGACCAGTCGTGTTCCATTAGGTATCATTGTTTTTATTTTTCAGTTCGATGCCTCCGTCGTGTCTCACGACTCGTTACATAGTCGGTAACGGAGGGGACTAAGTGTAAAGACACGGGCCTACGTGGTAAAAGGTGTCGCAGTGCCTTGTCTCGGTTAATAAGGGTATCAGCCGTTTTTTTTTGTTGTTTAATAATTCCTTACTCGCTATAATACGATAATAAATAACATATAAAAAAAGACGTACGGGTAAAAGACGTAAAAAAGAATGCTCGCCAATAGGGGGAGCGGTCCTTTCGTCTATAATAAAGTCGATGTCGGTGTTTCGAAAGAGCGTGCAAAAATGTACATTGTGGCAGAGGTACAAGGTGAACTTCCTAATCGATCCGTTCGACTTAATACGATACAGCTAGGGATTCCTATCGGTTATTCTGATCCGGGTTTACTTTGATGGTGACTTTGTTGCTCAGCGCGGACGCCAGCTTCTCGACGCTGCTCTGCGGCAGTTTGCCCGGCTCCGAGTTTGTTGTCTCGTTGTTGCACGCTGCTGCGTTCTCGGGAATTGGCTTGATCGCTGCCTGTCCCTCCTAAAAGTAAGAGGGAATTGAAAAGAATCAGAAAATATCTTTAAACCTATACCCCACACTAAACCTATATCTCTGTGCCCACATTCACTTACGTACTATCCCTGACGAAACCTGCTATCAACTTAATTTCTACTTCTGTCACATGTTTTCAAGCACACAGTTCACTCTTCAATCACAGCTTGTATTTCTCGATAGCACATGCCGCTAACAAGTCTAATCCAAAAGTCTACTCAAAACTTATACCGATTGCAAACCCGAAACAACCTACCCCGTCAGTCTTTCTCCTCAGATTCGATCTCTGCAGCGTGGCAGCCAGTTCGTTCTGAAGTCTGGACACCACTGGCCCATTCGCCAGTTCACTGTTACTACCATTCCTCTCGGATCGAGCCTGCTGCGAAAGGAAGTCCAACTTGGAGGGTTGTTTGGCCTCCCCTTCGTACGCTCCTATTCTAATAGCGACTTTTCCCGCCGCAGGTTTCGGAACTTGTCCATTCGTGGCGGCCGGCGGGACGATAGGCTTCGAGACTTCCAACACTGGACTGGTCGCCGCGTCCTTCCCATTGACCTGCGGCTTGTTTGCGGTGGCAGTGTGCCGAGGACTTCCGTTTGTGGTTGCCGTTGCATTCTGCAAGGGGAAGTAGGTCGGCGGTGGCTTTGGAATCACTGGATTTGGCGTTTCTTTCAGCTTGAACGACTCGATGCTCTGCATCTCTACGGCGTCCTCGTTGCTCTTGGTCTTCGCTACAAGCGGAAGTGGTGGTGGTGCCGGTGGCACAGGGGGTGCCGGAGGAATCGGCGGCGCAGCTATTGGTGCTGGGGGCGCTGGAGGTGCTGGCGGTGCTGGCGGCGCCGGTGGAATGTTTGGTGGCGTCGAAGAAGTATTCAGCACCCTCTTCTCTTGTTCCTAATGGTAACAGAAGATTAAGACGACGATTAAAACTCGCACGTAACAGGTTCAAGAAGACAGCGAGTCGTAAAGACTGACACTGATCAGACTTGAACGCTTGTTTGAGGTATGCTGTTTTGTATGAAACGTAGATAACTGCGGAATGATGTTGCATGATAAGGTAAGACCTTGCGCAACCAAGGATGACAATACAGAACTTAGAGGCATTAGAATACTTATCGTGTCTTTGTCTAGAAAAATTAGCGTATTTCGCAGTCCTTATCTCTTTCGGGTGAAATGACTGACTGATATTCAAGAAACGATAACGTTAAAAATGTGCCTTATTACAATTTGAAGGTATCCTTCACGAGAGTCTTTCTAAGCCTGCGAGTATTATACACCAATTACGATTCAGCTTTGCGTATTATTAGGGATGTAAAATTGCCGCCCATAATGTCAGGTTTTAGATACTATCTCGGAAACGCGTTTCTTCCACGCAAATCCCTCAACACGACACGTACACTCGACAATCGCGCGAAGTCTCGTCGACACGGGCAACGCGCGTCTGTTCGTTATCGATAATTTCGGTTAAGCGGCTCTAATTGCCTCGATATTACGCACGAACGACTGATCAGACGTGCCGATCGTGCACGTCGAACAGATGAATTTGATAACTAACACCGTAAGGAGTGATGGTAACCAACACGCGGCTCCTCCTCCGTTCGCCGTTGCCGATCGAGCCGTTCATGCTCTCCGATTTTCAACTGCTGTCATTCATTAATTAACTTTCCCTTCCATAGGCGATGCGATCTCCGTTTCCAGCGGATCGGTAAACTCCAAGCACACCCCGATCTGCCTTACGTACTCTTCGCAAATCACGGGTTCGGCTTGCGTTAATTAACAGTCCGAGGAAAAGCTCGGCGCCAATTAAAAGTTAACTGTGCTTCACTGTTCCTGGGATTGCGCCTGGAAACAAGAGCCGAGGACACGGAACGTCGCTGTCTTCGAATTACACGCTGCCCGACACCGTCGTCTCGCGCTGGCTAAACGTCGCCCCGCGATTTTCGTTAATCATAGTCGCGCTCGGTTATTTTGCGGTGTCCTGCCGCCCACCTTGAATGCCGATCCGCGTGCACTGACAACGTCACGAGCGTTGCCTCGGGCTTTTACGTAAGCTCTATTATTTTGCGCGTCTGCCACGGTTTGTAAGAAGCCGACAGGCTGAGCCGGCCAAGGTGGAATCGACCGTGGCGGCGAGCACTCGCGCGTATTTAAACAGGCATCGGTGTACCTGCCGGCGTCATTTGCCGGCTGATAGTAGATTACGTAATGATTAACGCTTCACAAGATTCACACTGGTCTCGCGCGGTCCGAGATCGTCGCGTACGAAGAAATTATTCAGATAATGTGGTCAAGAGCCTGTTTCGCGTTACAGGAATTCCCGCTACGTAGTTCCTGTATCCGAACTGCGACAATCGCCGAAGCAGAGTTTCCTTAAGCGATTAATGCGATGCATGCGTTACGGAAATTGTAATTGATATGTCAATTCCGAGTCGAGTATGAAACAAATGTTAGATCTCTATAGATTGCGACTGGAATAAAACAGAAAGCTGCGCTAAAGCTTCTATTAGATTGGCCGAAACGACGAACTGACGAACATCTTGGTTTTAAATTATCTTAGAAATACGATACATCTAGTTTCATGCATCAAACGCGAAACGAAATTGTACTAAACAATTATCGAATTGTCGTGTCAATAGTGAACGACAAGGGTTAGGCGCCGCGAAGCCATCGAATCGTGCACTTACAGTCTCTCGACCATATCACTGAACAAATATTTCCCTCGGTATGCCTCGATAATTTTAGAAAGCGTTCACTGGTTTTTCACACCCGCGACAACTGCGTGTATCGTAACCTCCGGTCGTGTTAGAGACGTTCCATCAGAGTCCACGATTCGTTGTTTTCCGCGGCCGGTGGTTAACTGATGCTCCCGATCGCGAGGCGATTCCGGTACTGTGGCAAGACAGTGAAACGTACGTGACTATAACCGGGCAGATCGGTCTCTATCTCTACGGAGCGCACGTAGAACAGTTAATAACTTGGTTCTCCATAAATTCAGGTGCACTTGAGCGTACGCGGCCGCACACAGAAGCGTAACGCTTGTTTCTTTCGCCGCGGCGAACAATGACTGCTGCTCCCGAAGCAGTTCTCAATTTCGCGGCGTTATCTATTTGCATTGGCAGATCTCGCGGCGGGTTGCGCAATTAACTGCGCGAGAATACCCGTATCATCCGGCGAAGGATGCCCCGCGATCCCCTATCTCCTTTATTCCGCTGTTTTGTCCCTCCTTCCGGCGTTCTTTCTCTGCCCTCTTTTTCGTATATCAATATTTAATAGACGCCGGTTACCAGGCGCAATCCACACCGTGGAAACATCCTCGCCGCGTGTAGCAATTCCGACTCTGTTGCTAATCAGATTTTTTAATTGGCCGCCAGCGTTAACCCTAGTTCCGCTTTTTCCACAGGTCGTCCGCGTATCGTCCTTGGATCTAACGAGGAATTTTACCTCCGCTCGGTGATCAGAGGCTGTAACGTCTTTACCGAAGAAAGAAAACAGTGAAAGTCTCGCTAAGTGGTGTCGTTGCTCGCGCAGCCATGGTCCGAGGAAATAATATTTCTGCTTCTTTACTAGGGATCCGAGACGACGGGATGATCCTTGGTCTACGTATCGACGCGTCGCATCCCTCGCGGAAAGAGTTCGATTGAAATGATCGGAGAACGAGATTCGCGAAGAAATTGTTTGCGCGGATTGTAAAAATTGAAAGCAGTTTCGAGTATTAAAGTGTTGGGTATTGATGAATAGAAGAATCGACGGTATTTCACAGGAATATTCATAATACGGCGATGCTCTTGTCTTATGATATCGTATAATTGAAGCAAAATTCAATTTTTAACAATCATCTTAATTTCAATCCCTTCAAATTTGTCTATAACAGGTGTAAACTCGTATAAACTTCCGTAATCTAACGATGACAACAGAGATTACCGATGCATTTCTTTGGTGTCTGTAGATAATTAAACACTTCCACGAATCGCTGAATTTTCCCGTTCCACGGATTACCGAGCAACAAGCATATTGATTTTTCTATTAATGATAGATTTACGGACATTTATTCTATACTTTATTCTATCGTTCGCAGAAGACTATATGTTTGTTTATATAGATCGCGAAAATTAGTGTTTCAAAACCTGAGAATTATATGTATTCGCAAAATCGCATCAATCAAGATCGACTTAAATGATTTCGAAATAATGTTTAAAAAATTCAATATCCGTTAAATGGACGAATTCCGATTGAATCTAGTGTTACCATTATGTTCGAACACGATGACAGTGATTGCTACGATTATCTCTGCCACTGATGCAAATATTTTCCACGTTCGATAAATGAGCGATCGTCGTGACGAACGTGTCGAAGTGCTGAAAGTATCCGCTGGGGGTAGCAATAACGAGAGATACGCTCTAGGGCATTTCCGAACGTTTCGAGCGTCAGTCACGCGTTTCCGAGGACACTGGTGCACGATAAAGTTTATCGTTATCTTACCTGCTCAACCGGCTGATCGGAGAAATGAACTTTCTGCTGGCCGGAGTTGAACATCTTCCGGTGAGCACGCTTGAACTCCTCCATTAACTGCAACACAGAGAACGGAACGCTGTAGAGGTGTCCGCGTGTTTAGCGGGAGTTTATCCGCGGCCGGACCCGATTTCGAGCAGTTTTACTGTTGTTGCCGTTTAACTCCTTGCCGTGTAATATAACAACGTGTCATACTCGTGGCAATGATTTGAAATATAATTTGGCAAGTACAAATATTACTAATCCTTTTAATTCAAATCAAATATTCTTCTGTTAATAATTATTTAGAGCAAACATAGACCTAGGATGTATTTAGAATTTGTAATCTTCTTCAATGAATTACTAACACCAACATAGTTGCTTCGATCATTGTCGAAGAAGAAAGGACAAGGGGTTAACACGTTCACACAGACATATACCACCGGTGGTACATAGATAATTTATAGTATTAAAATAAATCAACGTTACTAAGTGAATTATTCATTACATTGTTTATTAACATTTACCCACGATTAGCAACTGAAATCAGGAAATTAGACACGTTACAAGAGAACGCACTCCAACCTCATTTTCGCAAATACCGCTGTTACTATTTACGATCTATAATTAAACATATGTCAATGTCGCTTTTACTTCTCGATTTGACAGCGAGGAACGGAACCGATTGAAAACAGATCGACAACACGGTGAAATTGCAAGTGCACCGCTCGCGGTGTCCGCGTACGGTTATAAATGCGCGGCGCGCGCTGCTCGGGCTCGCGGCTGCGAACATCGTCGTTTGAACGGCTCATCCACGAAAGTTCAATCGTTCGCAACATCGCGGCAATAATTTTTAATTGGATCGACACTCTCTACTCATTATTACCGCGGATTTCATCCACGCAGGGGGCTGCCCGGCGCGATGTTGCACGCGCCCGCGTTCGTGCCGGCCCGATCGTTTCAATTGAAAAACAACCGACGAATCTGCACTCGGTTTAATTGCTAATTGAACATCGGCAGGGCCCATGTTCGATTTAAATGTTGCTTTGTTCTTCGACGATCGTTTTGTAATCGTAAACCTTCTGGCACGCAATTAACAGCGGCTGATGATGACCTGAGGGTAACGTGAACACGGGATGATGGACATGCCAGGTGTTTCCGAGTTGTCTTATCAATGTTTAGAGAGTGGCTTTAATTGTATATCGGTTGCTCACGTAGTCAGAATCTTCGAAAATATTTTTGGAAGTGCGCAATATATCTTCAACTAGAAATATCACGATTTGTAGATTACAAAAACCGCGATCTCACGATATTAACCCTCTGCAGTCGGAAGCTTCTTCCGTCAGATATATTCATCATTTTCCAATGAAATATTAACGGTCCTTCTCGCACTAACACAAATGTATACAATATACGAACAAAGAGATATTCTATTTCATTATTTCATTTATAATTACATTATATGAATGTTATCATCGAACATCGAACTATAAAATTTCACTACATCAAACTAAACGATAACTGTAAGTCGCCACTCGACCGTAAAGGGTTAAACGTTTCTATAATTCATAAGAAGTTGTTCGCTTGCTGAGTGGATTGTCCGTGTGCATAAAATTATGTTGATACTGTTCAGAGTTCCGAATGTTCATGTAACTATAGAAATAGAAGTATTTCGGTACCTTATCATGGGTGACCTTCTGCTCCTGCGCCCTCAATGCCTCCGGGTTCTGTGGCTTCCGCGCTTCCGCTGCTTTCTCCTTCATAGCTTCGGATTTGGCCATGTTCAAGCTCCGCTGAAAGCAACGCGTACATGTGATGCGCGTTGACGATCGATTATCTTTCAAAGCGGAATGAAGATTAATCCACGCTAGTACGGAAGCACTTGAGAACAAGATCGGAACGTCGGATATTATTGGCGATACGTCTTCGTTACGCTTCTGTTAACGACGATTCACTGCCAGCTGTTGCTATCAACAACGCGTACAATGAGTTCGATAACTTGATGAATACCAGCGAGTTAAGACAAGAGTTCGCGGCGACATCATCTTCTGGGTACACGGTATCTATTTGGGGGAAACGTTATCTCGAGGAATGACGTAAACGATATCTGTGTTAAACAGAGGAAGAGAAATAGCGTCGAGCACGTTCATTACCTGAATCCGCAAGCATCGGCTATCTCCGAGCAACTGAAACCACGCGATCGTTTAAACGTTATTAGCCTTCAATCTTGAAACTCTTTCCTAGAAACATTCCCATAAACGATACCGTGTAACTCTTTCCCTTTGAATAACAAATGGCGGACCGCTGGATGGAAGAGTTAGACGCGCGGAGGAGGCGCGTTTAAGTCTATACAAGAAAGCGTGACTGGCTTGGCGAATGACTGATAATTTCACTTTTAGAATTACAGTACTTAGAACTTGGTCCGAGGTAACCACGCTTTAGACGACGCGTTAACGCGAAACAGATTAATGGGAACACATTGTGCAGCGCGTCATGGAAAGGTAAATGAGACTTCGCGTTGCTCATTGAGCGCGGTGAACAAATAACCAATGAAATCTTCATTTCATCTATCTCGTAGAAAGCGTTATTCACGATCCGTGTCTTTGTTGATAGCGAGGAAGAGCTTCGAAGACTAATGCAGTTGAGATCCATCCAAGAGAGTTAGCCAGATTGCTCGCGTCTTCGCTGATAGCGATCGCGGAAAGGAGAGGCGAAGACGAATGCAAGAAACCTCAGTATCTCTAGATGACTCTGTGCAAGAATAAATCTATCAGCCGTGAAAGATATTAAACCCCGGATCCAATGGTAATCTGATATTCGATAGGATCACGGTAACAAATCTCTTCTATATCTACCAATTTGCACCTTTCAGAAGCAATGAGAGAGAAGAAAGAAGTCGAAGGATTTTCAGTATCAGCAGAAAGCTAGAAAAATCAGAATCTTGAATCAAATCTGATGCATTTTCTGAAAAATCTTTTATTCTACTTAACTCAAGAAACATCCCTTTACAATACCTCGTTTCCAAGGTAATCACATTCCAAAATTTGTCAAAGCGCTCGTACTGTCACCGAGAATCTTCTAACGTGTCTGATCGTGAATTATAGTTTCTACTTATGAATCCTAATCTACCAACGTGGCGATTTTCAAATCTGACGATTGCAGAAATAAAGACTCCTGTGAGAACAATTACTTATCTACTGAAGAGATTAACGAACATTATTTACAACGACATTCCCAAACAATATACTAAGTAGTTACTTGCAGATAAAAGGAAAAACCGTGTCGCTCCTACCTGCTGCGCCCGCCTCTGCAGTTCCTGTGTTATGGCAGTGCTCAGGTCGGTGCAGGCGATCGGCGACGTCCTTGTGGCGCAGTTGCGGGGTGTCGTGTGCACGGTGGTCGGCGCGTCGTTGATTTTATTGGTCCCGGTCGAGCCGGCCGTCACCGAGCCGTAGGAAACCGTCGACGGCGGCTCGCAGGAGGACGTCGACAACGACGACGAGGTCGACGCTGAGTCCTTGCTACAGGAGGACTCCAGGCTCGACTCGGTTTCCGTTGAGCCTGTGCTGCCCATCGACATTGTGCTACCCATTTGCATACCCATGGCGTTCATTGGCTTCGTCTCTGCACGAACAGCACCATTTATCGGTCACTTTACGATCCACTTGTTCGAATATTCGCGGAGCTCTGTGCTCGTTGAGACACAAAGTGGGTAAGACGTTGCTCGATCGCGAAAAATGCGTTTCCTTAACGGGGTTTACTGCTCACTAGGGTAATACGATTTTATAATGTGCAGTATAAAGTACACGACGAATGGATAATATTCTTTGATAATAATTAAATGCTATTAATTTGCGATACGCTTTATCATGTCGTTCCTGATAGCAATTGCGAAAAGGGAAGCTTCCTCGGTAGACAGTTTTTGAAAAGATCAATGGTTATGACACATATTTATTGGAATCGATAATTACACTGCTTCCTATACGACGCAACATATTTCTAGTTTTCTTATCTGACGCGCGGATTCTTATCAGCCCCGATGATTCACGTATTTATTCCTGTATACTGATATTTATGGGCAGGTTTATTTCACGGTATAAATATTTCAGTTTAATCTAAACAGCGGTTCGTGAGATCGTGACAAACCTGCTGGCCATTTGTAGGGCAGAGGTGGCGGAGGTGCCGGAGGGCAGATAGATTGATGCACTTCCACCGTGGTTACCGTCTTTCTGTCTCCGTCGTTCTGTGTACCGTTTTCCTATAAAGATACAGGGAACAGATATTAACTCTTACGACTTGCATTTAGTTGACGTTAAAATTTATTTCGATAAACGTATCGCGTTCGGTCGATTGCTCGATTAGTCTCGGTAATATTCTCTTATCTGAACGACGTTCAATGGAAACTTGTTTTCAATGTTCCAGGAATTACACTCTGTAAAGGATCAAGTGCGACGGCCGTGTACGATCGTTTCTCTTTTTAATTAAGTCGCTCCGAAGGCGCACCGTACGCCGATCGTCACGCTAATTCGATCAGATAATCGGACCGATTATGGGGGTAGCCGAAGGTAGAAAGCGCTCGTTGAACGCTCGTTAATTACTGAAACAGCGAGTTTCTTTTTCCATTCCGCCACGAAATTCCGCAGACATTGTTTACACCGCGAACGGTTAACGGTTAAACGATCGGCGGTGAGTTAGAAAGCTGCTTCCTCACTTTGGATCCGTGATAGGGAGGGACGTCATCGGCCGGCCCGTCGTAAATGTAGTCCTGTTGTCTACTACAGTTATCCCGGCGATAAGCTAATCGACGGTTAGCCTCGTCCCGTGGATTCGCGTCGAAATCGTGAACCTCGTAGCCGACTCTGGGCGCCACGGGATCGTAAAGGGGCTCGTTGTCGATGTCTTCGTCGTAGCTGCGCGAATTCGGGTGACCCGGCCCGGCCATGTGCCTGTGGTTTTGGTTCTGGTTCTGATTAATACGGATCACGGTCGTGTTGTTTGGCTTGCGGGTCCATTCTTGCGGCTGCGAATCGACCAGAGTCATCTTTCAATGCTGTATTATCTCAGAAGAAACTGCTTAATATTACAACTACTGAGCAGTTAAATTGATTCTAAAATTTTTCTATAGGAACTATAAGAGTGTATCTATTTAGATTTGTATTCATTTACAACTGTGTATGCGCATTGCTCAATCAATTTCTTTGGTAGTTTCTTAGAGAATCATGTTATCTTTTCAATAATTGCAAAAAGAAGAAATCGAGAATAGGTCATTTTGATCTGTCGTGTAGTTCTATTGCTATTGTTAATCTTTAACAATCCGATAGTGCCTGATTATATTTTCAAATTGATTTATTCTTATAAATTATTTTACTAAGTGAATAATAGTATTCATAACTTATGTAATGTGGCGATAACGAATTATTTATTTTGACTTAATGTAATGTTGAAGAGTTTTAGTGATATGTTTATTAGACGATACTGATCAAGTACGAAAGTATATTGGGTTGCACAGCGTTAAAAGAGATACTTCTTCAGTTTCATTCACCTGGTCAGGGTGAGGCCACTCCGATGAACTGCAACTGCTCGTGGACAAGGCCAGCGGGCAACAGATCCTAGAAAATTCAAAGATACATGGTCGATGGATTTTTTTTCATTGGCTCCAGATCACTTTTACTACTTTCTAATCTCCAATTAAACGACTCCGCGAGAAAGACCGAATAAACGTTCGTTCATCGGCCGCGAAGTATTCGTCGTGTCTAAGATTATTATCGCGAAATGTCCTATTAATAGACCGACTTTCTCCCGGTATGAGTCCATTGATGATACGCGATAACAGCACGTAACGAAAGGGGTATGTACCCAGAGTCGTAAACCCGTGTTGCCGATACTGCGCGCCGATCCTAAGTTCGCTGCTACATCGAACGAACGTGCAACTGGTCTTTCTTAATTGCAGTTGTGTACAATGGGTCCCGGTGTTGCGTTTTGTAACCGTATATTGCGGCATTCTAAATATCATCATTGTATTCAGTAATCGATGCTTTTCCGATTTGTTAACGCTTTAACGCCCGCAATTTTTACTTGTAAAATTGATTACCCAACTCCACGTTTTCTAGTATTTCTTTCGGCCTGTGTCTACAGAAGTAATCGCATTTATTATTCAGATAAAGCATTATATTCAGTTAGTTTCATTGCTAAGAAATATGTTTCATTGAAAACGGAGTATTAAAAATGTTAGGTTATTATGGATGTTGTTTCACAACTGAGATACATGGCCAAGTGACACCGATCAACAGAGTATTAACAGATCGATTGTACCAGAAGAGGATTTTCTTATTGCGCAGAAATTTTAGAAATGAATATTAACGAAATCTATTTAGGTACTTTCAAACGAATGTCGATAAAATTAAGAAGAAAAGGTAGATATTTAGTTTACGGCCTGTTATCTCGTAACGAACCTTCCATTTCGGTTGCAGGTATCGTCGCGGGGATATCGATGGTGCATTCTAGGGTCATGGTGATGCTGTGGCGAGTAAGATTGATTCTGTTGGGGTTGCGGGCTGGCCGCAGCCACGCTCGATGTTTCAGAATCGTAGCCGCTGGAGCCGCGGGTCCACAGTGGCTCGGGACAGTCGTAAAGGTGATTTGACGTGGGTCGTTGCACTATTAGGTCGAGAATGGCGGAGCTTCTCATTACCTCGATGGCTCTTTCGAATGGAAGATCGGTGAGCCGTTGCCCGTTGCACCAAACGATCACGTCGCCGGCTTTCAGGCCTGCTGCCCTTGCTGGTCCGTCGTCTCTGGTTCCCTGAATTCATTATCGTTAAGTTAATTTCCATGATCACTTGTTATATGATCATTTGTTATATATGCATGCTGCCTTGCAAAGTTTATTGAAGGAACCTATAAAATGTAAAGTGCACATTGTTGTATGTTTCAGAAATATCTGTAGCATGATCCACAAAGTGAAAGATGTTTCCAGGTCTGCAGCATTTGTTTACCATTTGTTATAATATCTTGGTCTACCGATTTTCCAGTAATTCCAAGAATGTGTGAAATTTCTTAATTTGAACGAACTCAAAGTAAAGTTTCTTTATTGTGCAATCGTTACATTGCTGAAACGGGTACAACATTTTTTGATACGTCTTGTATATTTGAAGCGCAAGGGATCGGTATGTTAATAGAATTTGTTAATTACCTGAACGGTGAGGCCAGGCACGATTCCCCTGCAAACGCCGCAGCCCAATCGTCCCTTCTCCCCGACGAGGATTCGAATCCTGACTTCGGTGACCGGCACTGCTCCCACGCCGGTCTCGTTGTACTGCAATTGCTGCTGTTGCTGCTGCACCATGTGCCAAGTGACCGGATCGTTTGGATTGCTTTGCGAATCATAAAATGCTCTTTATAACGAGGAAACGGTCCGCAGGGCGGATCCTTTAATAACCGCCCGTTTTAATGACTGATCGGTACTTACTCTTTCACAGGTATCATTCCCACGCCTGAAAGAAAAACAAGAGCGATGAGTATTCACGCGGTGAGACGAACAGGGAGGACAGGTTAAAGAGCCAGCTTAACGATATCGGCATACTGGATGATCATAGACTTAACCATTTGCACATTCAAACATGAGACTTCTATTTTTCACTGCTATCATTATCATGGAGGTCTGTTTCAACATTGCTCAAATAACGCATGAGATATGTACAAATATTACAATGCCGATGCGTGTAGTAATTAAATTGATTTTAAGTTTCATGAAAAGTGTAAGCGTATTTGAGTCACAGCAGTATTTTAACGAATATGGTGTTCTAATTCTACAATCACGGTATCAGTCAATGTGGCTGATTTTAATGTTATTTCTTAGTCATATAATTGCAAGTATATATTGATTATATTAAATGTTCGGTAGTTCTCGCGTAAAAGTTTTCTCATGATATAAAGAGTTGAAAAATCGATAAGGGGTGATAATTACTTCGGATCTTAAGGACGAGCACTTGCTGGTTTTTCGCTAGAAGCGCAACTTCTTGGTGGACGGCGTCCTCCACTGGATACCCGTTCACCCTTATGATTTGATCGCCGACCTGAAAACAACAGCCGGTTAGTGAAACTATGCGAAATAGAGCGAAGACTGATTGCTCAATTGCAAAATTGATTCGTTGCGGTTCGCATAAACCGAGTTCTTTGCACTTTGTGGGCAAAACGTAAAATCTTCAATAAACACAATTATTTTTGTGTAGAATATTGTAGCACTTGGAACAGAAATTTGAAACAAAATAACCCCGAAGCTCGTACAGAACAGTAGGACCCGTTACAATTAAAGAAACTGATTTTTGTCATGCTTGAAATTCCCATTTACGCGAAGAAAACATACAAAATGGAGTTGTTCGTGCCAACTATCGGTAAAACAGGTTCCTAATTTGTTAGTTTAAGTTCTAAATGTCGGTTAATTTTTCCTTTCGAATTCCTTCATGGTACTGAACATTGTACATTAAAGTGTACACTGAATTTAAAAAGAGCATTACAGTCCAATATCCACCGATAGTTCCACCCTACGGACGAGAATTCCCAACGTTTAATCTCCTAATTTGTAGTCCATTCAATTTGTATTTCAATTTCATTTCAATTTCCACTGACACATGAACCTTGCGTAAACCGAGCATCGACGACTTAAAAATAATCCAAGGGAAGTAGAATTCGAGGTGAGACTCCGACGCCCGAGGATGAGGTCTAAAGCCGTTCCGATTCAAATTCTATGAAGAGGGTCGTTCCGAGGTGTGCAAAAGGTTTATGTGGTCACGAGAAAAAAGGTAGAAAAGGAATTTACGAGTTGGCCATAGCCTGGCCCACCAACTGCAATAACGACCGCGGAACGTGGTACTAGCGGACTCACCCTTAATCCATTTCGGTGGGCCTCTCCTCCCGGCTGCACGTCGCTCACGTAAAATCCGGCTGCGTATTCGCGGCCGCCACGTAGAGAGAAGCCGAATCCCGACGCTCCACGCCGTCTCAGTCTCACGTTCCTGGTCACACCGATGACGGCCATCCTGCCGCCTCCTGTTGGGTTCCCAGGACCGCCACCGGTCGATGGTACCATGCCAGCACTGGGCGTGCCGGAAGAACCACCGGACCTGTGGAAATCAGAAGGTATTTTAATAAAATTCTACTTTAATGCCCGGGACCGGCATTAACACTTGTATGATCGCCACTGGAATGTTCGGCATCCGGAAGAGACCTCGCGACGCGATGGCCGCTTCGCATATGCTTTTTGTTTTGACCGCTGCTGTACACTATCGTCCACAAGTAAACAGTATTCGAACGGACACTTGCGCTTTCATCGGAGAATCCGAAGTGTCTGGGTATTGTAATGGGACTCTTCTAACAAAATTATTATTAGCATTCCAATAATGAATAAATTATGAATATTCCAAGTGTTTATATTCTTATATTCTCAGCATTAAAACGGTGGAAACTTATACTACTTTAGTTATAAGAGACATTAAAAAGATAATATGATTGGGATGGTTCTTTGGCAATATATTCAGGCTTTAATAATAATATAGAGGTCTCCGATAGATTCCACAAAGTGTCCAATATTTATGGTCGGCGATGTACAAGTGGTCATCGAAGATGGGTATGTTTATTGTTTGCATAAGAGTGTTCAAACAAACAGTCACGTCAATCCATTCATATGCTGTTCCTTTTTATGTTCGGTTCGTGTAGGATGAAAGTAAATTTCTATAAATTACCGAGAACGTTGTATCACGCGATGGATGAACGTTTAAACTACACGCACGTAGATTAATTGAACTGATAGAAAATGTTACGACTAATCTGCAGACCGTTGGGCAAATGTTTGATTTATCGTCGATGAAAATATTTCCTACACCCTACGCGGGAGTAGTTATTGTAACGATCGCTCGACTCAATCGAACGCATTCTGCCGGGGGGCTAATAAATCAATCCCCTTAGAATCCAATAAGTTAATACTTGAAATGCGCATTTAGCTTTTAATGTGACACGCATTCATAACGAAATGCCCGTTAAACCGACCCCGTGCACGCGCGGCACCGATGCAATTTTACGTCGGACGTAATGAGTAAATTCAATGCAAGAGCGAAGAGATTGATGCTTTTGGTCCCCGGAGCGCGCGCGATCGTTGTTGCGTCTATTGTTTCGCGATTCGGTATCGCCGGTGCGCACGGAAAGTGGAGCGCGCGATTCATTTGCCCGGAATGGAGACGCGAGCGCGCCGTATGTAAGGTACATACCTATCTCTCTACACGTGTAACTCGCGATGCAATGTTTACCCCGGATTCAGTGGCGTTAATAAGCCTCTTCTTTTTCAGTTACGTAAACCGGCCAACGTTACTTTCCCGGCGTCATTCCCGCGCCACGAAATCGCACGAAATCGCAGCTGCCCCTAATAACAACGATTATTTATGCTGCTCGAAGAACACTGCAGTTCGAAATGCAGTGGTATCTGGATAGAAGTCTGTCAAAAGGTAATGTGACTATTCAACACATTAACTGCTACGAGAATCTTGAGCGTTTTATATATCACTGATTTCTTCATAGCAAAGATAAATAGAGGCAACTATTAAATTTGTTACCACAGTTTTTACTGTTCTAATAGTTATACTAATAGATATACTATGTTTAGTTATTTATGCTATTACCATGTTTCCTGCCAAATAAGCGCTCATCAATTTGCGCATGTAACGAAACTAGTTGCTTGATGAAACTAGTTGAAACTGAAACTGAAAAGTCAAAATATCTCACAGAAATTTCCCTCTTAATCCTCCTGCTTCTGGACCCAACAAAATTTGTTATCCTCAATATGTCACTGAGAAAATTCATTTTTTAACCTGTACGAAAACTATACCACCAAAGTTTTGATGACTATTATTCAACAGCAGTCAACTATTAATGAGAGTTCAAAACTATATATTTGAGTGAAACAGAACGCCTACTATCGAAGCACTATTGTACCTCTTCGTCAAAGGGAACCTAAGACCATTGGCTCCCTAGTTTGGTTGCCGGAGTGTACGTATGCGGGTTTCGATTATAATATGCAGTGTGTAACTCGCATGCCTGCGGTGAGACGGTCGCGCCCCGCGAAATGCCTTGCGGGGGCGACGGTGATGGCGGTTACGGCGTTTCCGATTGATTTCCGCCTCCTCTAGAGTTCACTGCTAGCGAGGTAATTATACGGAGTAATTGTGCGGTCTATTGCCGCACTGAATCAATCCGTGTGTACCGAATGCTCGAACCTTTCACCGTTGAATCCTTTTGATCTATGATGCTTGTGGTATAAGCTCAGCTGAGTAAATAGCGTCAGAAACAAAACACTTCAAATGCCAAGAATGCATGCCTAGAATCCTTCATAGTTTGAGTTTCCTTAAATTTGTCAAATTTAGTTGCAATTTAAATTTCTTTAAATTTTTCCAATTTAGTTGCAATTTAAATTTCTTTAAATTTGTCTAATTTAGTTGTAATTTGAGTTCGCTTAAATTTGTCAAATTTAACTGCAATTGTCGATCATCGTACAAGACGATTTCAGTAAACTCTTCAAGTACCTTCTTCGAAGTTTGCGTCAAGAAATCTTCACAGTGTTCGGAGTTTAAGATTACTTGGAAAATTCTATTGCACCTAGATACATTTAGCTTCATAGCGTGAGAATATAGACTGGCAGTCAGTCGAACGACGAATTCAATGATCTTCCACGCATGGACGCTGGGCGTCAGTCTCGCGAAGAAAGGACATTCGCGGTTCATCCCGTGCGTTCACTTTTCACAATAGCCTCTCAAAGTTCCGACCTTCAGCTCACTCGACAAGTTGTACTTACAAGATCAAGTTTTTATACGTTTCAGACGCTGAATAACCTTGTGTAATAGGTTATTGCGTTCGTTTTAAAAACGACCGCTCGTGGAACTAAGATAAACCATTCCCGGGGAACAGTATACCCGCGATTCGAGGAGATAATTATATTTCTTATTTTGCAAAAATCATCCCGCGTGCACTCGACTCCGTGGATTTTACAGTGCGGACTGGTACAGTTCAGGATGTTCCGAAGCGCGAAGGGCTTAAATCTTGTTAACCGGTAATAGCCACTTTTCTGCTCCAGTAATAAACAGCTGGTAATCTTTATTGAAAGCGCTCGAAATAACTGTTTCCTGTCTGTATCTGAACAACAGATTTTCTGCACTTTACAAGTATTAATGTTGACCCCGCATGAACAGGAATAATGGGAAACATTTTTACCAAAGGTTTTGTTTAAAAATCGAGAAACATAGGTAGTCGTGTGTATCTTTGGATGTATACGTTCTTTTAATATTTAATATTCTTTTAATGAGCGATACTTAAGTATGTCCAGGTTACAATAACGTAAGAATTTTTATGGCTAAGAATTCACTATATTAATTGGCAGAGAAAAATAATTCTAAAGAACGTATGTTCTTACAGCTTTAGTTTCTTATGGAATTTACGTTCACGAAGGCATAGAATAGATAAATACCAACGTAACGCTTCTGCTGCTAATACAGATTTTATAATTTCATGAAATGGAACGACTGTTAGAGTGAACTCATTACTAGTTAATGTCGAATGAAGACAAACATACCACATTATTTTCAACATTTCCACGGTGTTCTTGTTTCAAAGAACACTTGATACCTATAACTTCTTTAATTGTCGCAGAACTTGTGAAAGAGAGAACGGGTTCTAACAAACCAATAACAATTATTCGGAAATCAAGCTCATGAAGATGTGTATCGATTAAAGAATTACCTTCAAAACCACGATATAGTGCACGAATTCCGGTACAGATAAAAGACGAGTAGAACATAAAATATCCAAGTTCATGCGAATCTTACATTCTTTTCCATCAGTTTATTCCATTCTACGTTATTCTATTCGAGCTTCACTTCTATTTTAATACTTATCGTATCTAATTATGCACGCCGTTTCATACGTAATTACACTGTAATTACCGCGACCAATCAATGACGCTGAATATTAAGTCCGGAAATTTCTTGCAATACACTTCCAATCACACGAGTCCCACACTTTTCCTCGTATTCCTCTATTATCGTTCCACGCGTAATGAAACACCCGGTGTGTTGCTTACTACATCGGTTGATTGTGGATCATGCAAATTCTCACCCATGTGGCTCGTATATTCCTACGGATCACTATAATCACTAGGATCACATACAACATCCCATTTAAATTGTCAAATACCTATATTTCCAATTGTTTTTAGTGGTATACTGAATCGTGCATGGAAGCCTATTCAACTATTCCTTCATCCGTATAATTTACTTTCATAAATATCTTTCGTTCCATTAGATATCAATGATATTTACGATCCAACAGTTCCCTCAGCAATACTGGCCTACCTCTCTGCAACTTACCCTATTTTCACTTATCCCTAATTACAACTGCACGAACATCACGCAGACAGTTTCGTTCGAAGAAAATCCACTTGGCCCCACTCGCGCAGCGTTTCCAACCCCGTAGGCGTGGCGGGTCGTGATCGGCGGGGCAAAACGCTCGGAAAATTCGCGGCGCGGTCGGCCGACGAGGAGGAATTACGGTAATTCGCGGCTGAGGCTGGCTCACCTTCGCGAATAATTGTACCGCAAAAATTCCGCGTCTCTCGGACCCGGTACGGCCGCCGGCACCGCGAGCGTGCTGCGGCTCCCCTCTTCCTCCCTCCCGGTACCTTTGTTCGGTTCCCGCGAACTTTTTCCGCCGCGCTGCGAAATTAATGACCACACCTGGCGCACCATTGCCAACGGAGCAGTGGGAATGCTGGGAAGACGAAGAGGGTTGGAAAAAGATAGTAACACAGCGACGGAAAAAGAAGGAGAGAGAGAGAAAGACAGACAGAAAGAGAGAGAGAGAAAGACAGACAGAAAGAGAGAAAGAGGGAAAGAC